GCGACACAGCAGGGGCTGAAGCAGGTCCAGATCAGCCCTTGTAAGACGTACTGGGAGGCAAATAAGACACAGTGATGTGTTAGAGAATGACCGGGGCAGAGGGGCCTCTCCAGGGAGGTGATCATGAGCTCACACCCGGAGGAGGAGGGGCCAGCCAGGTGGGAGCTGGGAGAACAGCATACCAGACAGCAGGAACAGCACATGCAAGGGTCCTGAGGCAGAAATGAGTTTGACATGTTTGAGGAACAGTGAGGACGCTGCTATAACTGGAACAGAATTAGCGAGGGGGAGAGAGGAGGAAGAGGAAGATAGAGGGGTCTGCACGTAGGGGCTGAGGTAAAGGAGTGGACTGCAGAGCAGTGGGGAGCCATGGAGGCTGTGTGAGCAGGGGAGAGACATGGTGGTCTGATTTATGATTTTCAAAAGCCTCCGTGACTACTGTGGAGAGCAGGGATTGTTGGGGCAGGAGCCGAAGTGGCAGAAGGCCAGAGGGGAACCCAGGAGGTAACTGGGTAGAGTTGGCTGGGCCAGGACTGCATAGTCAGGGAGGGAGAGAAATGGGCAGATTCTGGGACTGAACTGGGTGGGCATGGAGAAGGGAGTGTGTGTGGCCAGGTTGCCACCCAACGCTGAGGAGCCATGGGGAGGGAGGGATTTGTCATGTTCTGGGAAATCTGGGAAAGCATCCTGGAAGAGGTATTCTTGCTCTTTGAGCTAAGTCTAGAAGGGTAAGTAGGCCCCTGCTGGTGTCCAGCTGGAGTCATGCTGAGGGTGTAATTGTACGGACACCGTGAGGGCCCTGGGGAGCCACTGAGCACTCAGAATTAGAAGCAACACGATGAGATTTTAGCAAGGAAAGACCCCTCTGGGGGTGCCTGGCAGAGACAGGACTGGAGCCAGAGAAACCAGGAAGTCACTTGAACCGTTCAGATCCTGCAACTAGGAGCATCCAGTGAGTGCTAGTTGTGTACCTAGCACATTTGAAGGGGATTAGCTCCCTAGCCCCTCTCACTGCCCTCGGAGGGCCCCCACTGCCCTGCCAAGGGACCTGAGGCTCAACGAGGGAGGGGCCCTTGTCTGTGACCACTGCATGACTTTCCAGGGGGTGCAGTAACAAAGGCCCACAACCTTAAAACAACAGAAATGTCTTCTCTCACAGTCCTGGAGGCCAGAGCCTGAAATCCACGTGTGGGCAGGGCCACGTTCCCTCCGGAGGCTCTAGGGCAGGCTCTTCTTTTTGGTTCTTCCCCTTCCCGGGGGCTCCAGGTGTCCTGCGGCTTCTGGCCACATCACTCCAGTCTCTGCATCTGTCTTCACGTGGCCTTCTTAGGAGGACCCCCGGTCACTGAGTTAAGGCCCGCCCTAATCTAGTATGACTTCATGTTCATTTAACAGTATCTGCAAAGACCCTGTTTCCAAATCAGGTTGCATTCTGAGGTTCTGGGTGGACTGGGATTTGGCGGGGAGACTCTTCAGACGAGTAGGGCCAGACAACAGGACACTGTGCTCAGTCCTGCCTTTGCCCCCAGGGCCTTTGCTGAAGCAGGGGCTGCAAGGGATGGGGACAAAGGGGTGTCCTGGGGCGAATTCAGGGGCAAGGATGGACAGGACTGAGGTCCCACTGGATGTGGGCGTGGCCAGAAAGGAAGAGTTAGTCTGGAGCCTTCCAGCCTGACTGCGGGAAGGGAGGGGACGCTGATGTCTAGAATAGGGGAGCTGCCGCCAGGACAGCCGCAGGGGAGGTCGCTGGAGGCCGGGGGTGGCGGGGAGGGGGGCAGGGCTCCCAGGCCTTGGCTGCTTTGTGGGGATTCTGTGCTGATGGTAGAGCTGCTTCCCTGCTTGCCTGTCACCCCCCTCGCCCCTCCTCCTCCAGAGCAGGGACCGAGGGGCTGCCAGGCAAAGCCCCTCCTCACTACTCCCTGGCCTCATTTCCCCCGTGGACCGTCTGCAGGGGCCAGGTGTGTTTATTTGTTGACCCAAGATCTCATCTTGCCTGCTGAAAACCTGAGTGTGGGGGATTCCGTGTGTGTCTTCTGCACCACACTGTCTCCACTTCAGGCTCATCTCTTGTACACAGGAGGTGCTCAATAAACACTGATAAAATGAGTGACGCTCCTCTAAGTCCCTGAGTTCCAGAGAGCCCAGGAACAAGCCCTCCAAGATGCCTGCCCCAGCTTCCTGGGGCCTTCCTGGTCCCCTTCCTGCCCCTACAGTTCGCAGAACCCTAGGGGACTCAACCCTCCATGACTTGCACCCTGCTCAGAGCCCTCATGCACACATCTCTGACACACATCTCGGCAGGTGGGACCCCTGCCAGCCTCTGACGCGGTCCTTCCCTTTTGCCCCTTCCCTCTGGCCACACTGGTCTCTCTTCTCTTCCTCAAACATGCCCCCCTGGTCCCACCTCAGCATCTTGATCCTTGCAGTGCCCTCCACGCAGTGCCCCCTTCTAGCTCTTCCGGGCCTGGTTCCTTGGCCCCTTTGGAATGTTTCCCCTTCTGGGAGGCCTCCCATGACCACCCCAAAGTCTCCCCATCTGTTCCTATCTTTCTCAACTTCACTGGATCGCTTTCTAATACTTGCGTATCTAGAATTCTTACTGGTCCTTTTGTTTGGAGAGGGTTGTTCCCAGGGTTCTAGAAATTCAGCTCCAAGAAGGACAGCTTTGAATCTCAGACTTTGCATCCTCAGCACCACACTCAGGCAAGGGGCTCGGTGGCTATGTGAATGAATGAATGAATGAATGAATGAATGGGTAAATATATTCCGTACCCTGCCATCTCCATACTCATGGGGGACTCAGGGTCCAACCTCCTGGGCAGCCATCTGTCAGGCCCCAGGTGGGTCTGATATTTCTGTGGATGCACAGCTAGGGGTAGGGGGTAGGTGGCCAGTCCATCCCTACTCAGGCAGCCTATGGGTCCTTCAGCCCCTGTGAGGCACTCCCAGGTCTCCTGCACCTGGATCCTTGGCCACTGCCCTAGACTTGTGGCCCAGCCCTCAGGCCCCTGGAAGAGGGGCTTCCTGATCACCCACCACCCCATCTCCTGCCTGTTCTTTAGGCCATTTCCTGGGAATGTGAGTCCCCCTGTGTATCCCAACTGACAAGTTCATTTGTAGGCTCCTCTGGTCTCTTCCAGCCAACCATGGGCTGATAAGAGGCTCTGTCTGCAGTGAAATCTCAGATGGTGCCCACCCACAGCCCCACGTCCATCCCCCTGACCCCTATCCACCTCGGCCAGCCTTGTCTCCGAGGCGTGAGGTTCAGGTAGGCAGGAGGGCAGACTTGAGTGGACAGTGGTCATTCACCAGGTCAGCCATCCTAAGTTTAGCCCCTTGAAGGGGGTCCCTGATCCCTTAAGGCAGATGAGCCCGAAGGGGAAAGAGGGATCTTTCCAGAGAGAGAAGACGGGTGCAGAGCCTGGAGGGCCTGCTCAGGAGGGGAGGGCCTAGAGGAGCCTCCAGGGTCTGTGGCCCATGCTTTTGTGAATATCTGGACGTTTACATGTTGGACTTGAATTCAAAAAGCATCCGATGCTGCGAGCACTCCACAGAAGCCTGCACAGGCTGGAGTCAGTCCGTGGGCATGGTGTGAATGCTCCTTGTGGGGCAGAGATCCGCACAGGGGCAGGCTCAGGTTGGCAGGGGCTGGGGCACTGAATGCAGTACAAGGATGTGTGCCAGGTCCCTAGGGAGGTGTGGGTGGTTCCAGCACAACCGTGCTTTAGAAAGAGCCCCCAGCAGCCCAGGCAGGCCTGGGGTGGGGGGCTGGTGAGTGGATGGGTGGATGGGGATTACAGAAGGCATGGCTGCTCGTCGAGCATGGCTGAGGATGCATCCATTTAGGGTCTCCCATCCTGACACCCCTGTGGTGCCCAGGCCTCCACGGCCATCACAGCCAGGCCTTCTTCAGGGTGTCCCCAACAGGCTGGGAATGAGATACAGAAGTCTCGTCCACCGACCCCAGGCCATCACCTGGTCCTGCTCAGCCTCATCACTGGCCCATGAGACCACCCCCTGCCCAGGCAGCCATCCTCATTCAGTCTAGCTCTTTTCCGGACACCACAGAGGAAACAGATCAGCTGCCTATAGGCAGTGACGAGCAATCAGATATTCCTGACCCTGTCCCAAGCTCCAAGCTGGGAAGAAAACAGTGGGGGACTGGGAGAGAGATGGGGGGGGTCAGAGCTGGACTCAGTCACCCCAGCCAGGCGGGGACAGGGTAAGGCCTAGATAGTTTGGCAGCCTGGGGGAGGAGGAGGAAAGAGCTCCCCCTCCTCGTTCCCCCCCCCCCCCCCCCGTTCCCAAGGCCCCTTCCAGCCATTATTAAGTTGAATGAATGAGTCGCCCAAGGACACCCTCTGTGCCAGGAGAAAGGAGCATGGTTTTGGACACCCCCCAAGCAGGCTTCCGCTGGCCTGCCATCCTGGTATTGGTGGTAAGGGTTAGAAGTGGGAGGAGGGGCTAAGTCTCACAGAAGATGCCTTGAACCCATGGCCCTAGCAGGCACCCCCTCAACTCTTAGAAGCCCCCACGTCAGGGTCCTAGGCACCCTGCACTCAGCAATAGATTGCAAGCAGGACGTCTGAGGAGGTCATTTCAGGAGGGAGGTGTCCAGTCGCTTTGCAAAGTTATCCCCTCCGCAAATGCGTGTATTTGAGGGATTGAGGGATGGTTGGAGTTTGGGGACTCGATTTTGGAAAGGTGGCTAGGAGTTACCGAGAGCTGTCGGGGGCGGGAGCTGTCGCTTCGCTAAGTCAGGTCCCCTCCATTGCGTCCAGCCAGAGAGCGAGTTTGAGGACCAGCTGAGCGCTGGGGGCTGAAGGGGGCTCCCGGGAATGTGGGATCTTTAAATGTAGGCGGGGCTTGCGGGGTCGCCGGGGGCGGTGCCAACCCGGGCTCGACCAATCGGCGGCTCCGCCCGCGTCGCACCGCCCCCTCCTCTCCCGGCCCGGGCGGGCGCTCGCCCCCGGCCGGGCCCGTGGACAGGGCGGCGGGGAATGCACCCGCCGCCGCCCCCCGCCCGGCCGCCTCCGGGCCGCGCGTCCGCCGTCTGCTGCCCGCCCCGTCTGCGGCCCCGGCCCCCACGCGAGGGTCTGCGGCCGCGCGGGACCCTCTCCCCTCCAGCCTCTTCTGCCCGTGGGAGCCGAACCCTGCAGGTACGAGGTGGGACGGACGGGAGCGCCCAAGGAGGGAGGCACGTCCCGGAGGGGGACGCGGTTCAGGACAGGGGCCAGGACAGAGGGTCTCCGTAGGGTCTGGCACCCAAGGGACACAGAGAGGAGGGAATGTATGTATGTGCACTGCCTGAGTGAGTGGAGATTCACGGACCCCCCATTCCGGAGGGGAAAGGTACTGGGTTCACTTTGGCGGGGGTAAAGCAGTGAGTCTCCAAACTCCATAGATACGGTGGGGAGAGCTCTTGGGGTGAAGGCAGTGACCTGGGACTGACTTGGGAATAGGAGGGAGGAGACCCTCACCACGACTGCCTAGATTCTGCCGTCAGGGTCGCCCCTGCAGGGCCAGGGAGCTGGGTCCGCCAGCTGTCCCTGGACAGAGGTTGGGGTCCCCCAGACAGGGCACTGCCTTGGCTGTCCTGGAGGGCAGGGCTGCAGATGTGAGTGCTGGAGGCTGGGGGCCAAATGGGAGATGCTGATGGAGATGGGTCAGAGCGGAGGGCGCTGTTGGAGGCAGCCATGGGGAGAGCCGGGCAGGCTAATTGCACCCTGCTGACTGCTGGCAGGTTCCTGACTGGTGGTGATGGGGGGGGGGTGCGCCCAAGGGAATTGGGCAGTCCGTGCCTTACTGTACCCACTTCCGGGCATCTCAGGGCTGGGAGGGCAAGTGGATCCTGTCCACCCTGCAGAGCTAGGGCCAGAAGAGTGCTGGTGGGTGGGGTGTCTTGGGGTCCTTACCCACCCTCCACAGGGACACACGCCCCACAGCTTACCCACACATCCTGGAAGATTCCGCCATGTGATGCTCTGGCCATGGTTCCTAGAAGTGGTGGGGTGGGCATTTCACCCCAAAGGGGCTCTGCCTTGGAGACTGACAGGCAGGGGGCACCTTCTTGCCCAGCTCTGAAGGACGGAGTGCGGCACTGGGCAACAGCGCCGCCAGAAGCGTACCCGCGGCTGCGCGCTAAGCATTTTCCGCGTGAGATCTCACTTCCATCCTGGCCGCTGACCTGCTGCGGGGGGCACCGAGTCTTCCCTTTGCTGAAGAGGCAGCTGAGGAGAGGGCAGTGACTTCGTCCTGGCTAGGACGCCCAAGGGTCCCTCCCAGGCCGCCACTGCACCAACTCGTCATTTGTGAAAGGGCTCACTCAAGGACCTTTGGGGTCTGGCCAGGTTATATTTCTTTTGGGTGGGAAGCCTTCGAGGAGCCAGCTGCCCCGTTCCCTGCCACCTGCCTACCTCCTCCGACTCCTCAGGAGTCCTCCTGGGGGCCCCCTTCCCTGTGTGGCTCACAAGATTCCCACAGCGTCTCTTGGGATGGTGTGAAAGCCGGGGCTGGGCTCATCCTCCCATCCCAGCCTTCAGAGAACAGAGGTTTCATGCCGCAGACATGTTAGGTGGTTTTGGTGATTCCAGGGACCCTCAAAACCAGATGCAGCTCAACAGCGTGTTTCTAACCTTTTAGAACTCATTGGCAAACCCACGGCCTTCACCCAGAAAAATACACCCTTGTGTAGACATCTAAACCTTGGCCAGAGTTTCAGAGGGGCTCCTGGTTCTTTGGGAACTCCTGAGGGGCCCAGGGACCCCAGCTTGGGGCCCAGTTGCAGTGGGGGAGGGGAAGACAGACCTTGGAAGGTGTGGGGTCTCTTGTGCCCTGGGCCCTCTGGTCCCACCCAGACTCGCAGAAGCTGCCCCCTTCTATGGAATCTCAGGCAGGCCACTCTGTCCTTCTGTGTCCTCTGAGATCATGGGAAGGGTCAGGCACCCACCATGCCTGTGTCTCAAGCTCTGTGGCCCTTCAAGGGCAGGGCCAGGCTGGCTCCCTTTCCAGATGGTGGCTTGTCAAGAGGGAAGTTGGCAGATCCTGCCACCCACTGCCCCCCAGATGGCACCAACTTAGTTCTTGCCCTTCCTGGCTTTGTGACCTTGGGCAAGTTGCTAAACCTCTCTGAGCCTTGTCTCCCATCTGTGAAATGGGAGCAGGATTGCCACCTGCCTCACTGAGTGGCAATGGGGAGTAAGTGTGATAATTCTGATAAACAGCTCAATAAAGCCCACAATAAGCGCTAGGTATACATTAACATCATGAGCCCCGGGAAGCCCCTGCCTCCCTCCCTCCCAGAGGCCACCTGTACCCATCCCCCCAACCCCTCCCTGCCCAGGGCACCTTAGGACCAGGCTGTCAGGCAAGGAGGAGCATGGCGGGCACACGGCTGAATTTGGCCTGTGCATCGGGCGGCTGAGTCACATCCCCAAATTGCATCTTCATCAGTGCGTTTCGGAAGGTCGTTTGCAGCACCCCCACCCCCTCCAGGCTCTGTCTGCCAGGCTACTTGCCTCTCCTGCCTGTGCCCCTGAGCCCCAGGTGAGGACCTTCTGCACTCTCAGGAGAGATAGTAGGAGTGGTGCCTGGGGTTTCCTCATCTCCTGGATGAGAACAGGGTCTGGGATTGCTGTGTGCATCCCGGTGACAAGCTCTCGGCCCCACCTAGCAGCTAATGGCCCTCCGGGTGGCAAGCAGGGGCCCTAGCCCCGTAGGAGAGTGGCACCTGAGAGTTCGTGAAGGTGGAGCGAGAGATCAGGGCCAAGGTCAGCCTTATAAACTGAAGTACTGGGCCTGCAGGAGACCAGCCCGTGTAAACCACGACCTGTGTGCACCAGGCCTCATCAGCAGAAGCCTCAGGCCACAGGTGGCCACGGCCTGGTTGATGTAATGGCTGGGGTGGCGAGGCAAGGGACATGTTCTGATACTCATGAGGTCATTCTGCCGTGGAAGGAACGTTTCTTATGCTCCTACTCTGTGCTGGCACCAGCATCTGGGAAATGTGGGTGGGACAGATGCTGTCTGGGGAGATACCAGACAAGGGGCACAGGAGGTCCCGCGGTGCATGCGGTGGATCCCTGGCCAAGGTGGCATGGCTCGTCTTGGCCTGTCCTGGTGTGACATTTTCTGTGTCTGTCCCCCATGGAGTGTGGTTTCCAGGCTGGGGAGGCATCCTTTGTGTATACATGGCCCTCTCTCTTGGGCCTGGTACGTAGGGGCCCACAGCGCATGCCAGCCTGGCCTTTTCAAAGGGGACAGCCCTTGTTGGGGGAATCTCACAAGGCGACCCAGTCTAGAATCTGCCCTATAAGAAGATGGCCCCTTTATAGCACAGTGCCTCAGTTTCCCTAGCTATAAAACTGGACCCCCTTCTTGGGGGCATTGTGAGGATGGAGGAGAAAATTTGTGGGAAGGCCAGAGCCTGGCATGTAGTAGATGTTCACTAAACATCAGCTTGTGGGAGGGGGAGATGGTGGGGTGGGAGTGTGGGGGAGGGTCTAGCAAATTGTGACCCCAGAGGCGAGACTCCAGGCAGGCTTATCATATATGTGTTACTGTCATCAGGGTCCTTGCTCTCGAACATGATGCCAGAGGACACTGCCTTTATGCAAGGGCAGAATTCAAGGATATTGGGGTGATCAGTCTGCTCTTTGGTAGCCTGGTGGGGAAACTGAGGCTGACCTGAGGTCACAGGGCCAGGCTGAGCACATCTCCTAAGGCCCTATAGAATCAATTCTGGGATCTCAGAGCTGAATACTAGGTTGCCACACTGGTCATGGAATCTCTTTGGAGATCACAGACCTCCTTGCACCCAGGCAGGAGGGAGCAGGGGTCTCTATGTGGTCTCATAGCTACAGCCATGGTCCTAATATCCGCACACTGATGTGTGTTCAGGCTTTTGGACAGCTCTAGGGGAGGAACTGGAGGCTCAGTAGGGTGAGATTAACTTGTCCAAGAGCCTGAAGGTCAGAAGGAGTCAAGCCTGGATTGGAACCGCCTCCTGACTACACACTTACACAGCCTCTGGCCCTCCCCGGCAAACCTGCTGGCAGATTCCATCTCCACACATTCAGAAGTATTTACGGAGTGTCAGCTGTGTGCTAGGCATTGTTCTAGGTACCCGGAGACAGAACATCAGTGGGCAAAATTTCGGTAAGGGGGTGTTCTAGGCAGAGGGCTCAGCAGGTGCAAAGGCCCCAGGCAGGACCAGGCCTGTCCAGATCTGGTGATGGGGATGCTTATGTGGCTGGAAGGGAATGACTCTGGGGAGAGGGAGAAGGCTGAGGTGGGTAGCAGCCAGACCGCAGAGGACCTAATGGCCCCAGTGAGGACTTTGGTTTTTATGCAACGGCACTCAGAAGCCTTGGGAGGCTTTTTGAGCAGGGGAGGAATGTAGGCTGACTCGGAATGGCCAAGCCGCGTGTCAGCCACTCTGGGTTCATGCTTTCTGAGCCTCAGAGTGTTCTGGGGTGGTGGCAATGGTTCATGGCCCTCTGGTCAGTTGGCCAGGCCCTGCCATGACTGTGTCCCTTATGCCCCTCAGGTCAGCGCAGGAGCCCACTCTCTGAGCCATGCTGGGCCCCGGGCGGCCTCCAGCGAGCCCAAGGCCGGCACCCACATAGCCATGAACAGCCACAGTCACAGCCACAATGGCTGTGGGGGGCGGCCGCTGGGCAGTGGGCCGGGTGCCCTGGGCAGAGACCCTTCGGAGCCCGAGGCCGGCCACCCCCCCCAGCCCCCACACGGCCCGAGCCTCCAGGTAGTGGTGGCCAAGAGCGAGCCAGCCCAGCCCTCACCTGGCAGTCCCCGGGGACAGCCCCAGGACCAGGAAGACGAGGAGGACGATGAAGAGGATGAGGCAGGCAGGAGGAGGGACTCAGGGAAGACCCCGAACGTCGGCCACCGCCTGGGCCACCGGCGGGCACTCTTTGAGAAGCGGAAACGCCTCAGCGACTATGCCCTCATCTTCGGCATGTTCGGCATCGTTGTGATGGTGACCGAGACGGAGCTGTCTTGGGGGGTCTACACCAAGGTAGGCACGGCCCTTCCCCACGGCACCCCAGGGAGGCCCCTCTGGGCCCGCCTGGCTCCCCCACCACCCCTTGGGCACGGGATTAGGGACCACGTTGGCCGCAGGAGAAGCAGGTGGGGGATGCTGGGGCGAGGGGGCCTAGAAACTGGGAAACTGGGCCTCCCACTGCGCCCACCTCCTGGGGGTAGCAGGCAGGCTGCACACGGGGGAGTTAGGCTCCAGCCCATTCCTTCTGCCCTGCACCAAGAGGTCACACCCTGGCTTAAAGTGGGGGAGGGGGGCTGTCCCCCAGGCCGGGCCTGGGACAGGAGAGCCCCAAAGAAGGCCTGAGCCACAGAGCCCGGAAAGAGCCTCTCCTCCTGAGAGTGGTTGGGCTGGGTTATGAGCCTGGCTGTGTGTCCCCTCATGCCGCCCGAGGGTGTGTGAGGACAGAGAGAGATCAGGGCATGTGAGCCTGTAAACTATGAAACAGTGAAGGTGGATGAGGCCGTATAAACTGTGAAGTCCTGTGCCTACAGGAGGCAAGGCCTCATAAATTGCCACATGGTATAGGCCTTTAGGAGGCCAGGCCTTATACGCTCCGAAGTATAGGCCAGCCTTGCCATCACCCCACGCCTAAGGAGTAAGGACAGGAGCATGGCTTCCTGAGTGGAGAGCCCAGGTGGGGGGTCAGGAGGGCCGCCCACCCCCCAACATCCTTGCCCTCCTGCCCTCTGCTCTTTCTCTCTCTGCCCCCAGGAGTCCCTGTACTCATTTGCACTCAAATGCCTCATCAGCCTCTCTACGGTCATCCTGCTGGGCCTGGTCATCCTCTACCACGCCCGGGAGATCCAGGTCAGTGCCCAGCTGGCCCCGGGCAGCTCCCCGCCCCATGCCCCAGAGGACCCCCCCCCTCCACGCCAGCCACCTGGGACCCTAGCCCCCTAAAACATAAAAGGACCAATAGCATCTTTCTAGAAAAAAGGAAAAAAGACCTCGGTGAAGACACACCCTTTAGATCACTCCAAATTTCTTTGGAATGCCTATGTTTTACTTTTCATTGACTATTTGGAAAAAAAAAAAGAAGAAGAACAGTGAGGGAGCTGGAGATGAGCTGGGGTCTTCCGAGGTTTGGCAGCCTTGGAAACCAGTGTTTGTAACACCAGGCTTCTGTTCCTATTCGATCAGACCCTGCATTTGAAAGGTTTATTACATGTCAGAGAGCTTGTTCTCCTATTTCGGGAGTTAATTGAAACCTCGGTGGGCCCCAGAGAGCCCAGCTCAGGCAGGGCATGTTGGGCACCTGTGCCCACAGCAGGCAGAGGTCACCTGCAGCTGGTACCAGGGTCTGGGGATGCCAAAGGGTATCAGGTCTGGCTCCAGAGTCTGGCCTCTGGCCTCTGACCTCTGACCTCAAGGAGCCATGGTCTGGTGGGAGACGGGTGTAGGAAAATCCTGCCTGGGTTGCACCACCTGTAGACATCCCTGGGGATACCCAGGGTCTGGCACAAAGGAGGGGCCCTGGATGTGGCAGGGGGCAGGGGAGGGGCCAGTGATACGTGAGCTGGAAGGAAGCAGTTCTTAAGGTACAGCAGCTGGGGACAATGGTCAGTTCCTCATACAGTGAAACATGGAGGTACCATACGACCCAGTGATTCCACCACATCCAGGAGAAATGGAAACCTACATCCACACGGAACTTGTACTCATGTGTACATAGCAGCCCTATTCACAATACCAAACAGCGGACACAGTCCAGATCAGCTGGTGGATGGATAAATAAAATGTTGAATGTCTATACAATGGAGTAGGATTCAACCATTTAAAAAACAAAAATGAAGCCCTGGGGCACCTGGCTCAGTCGGTTAAGCATCTGACTCTTGGTTTTGGCTCAGGCATTGATCTCAGGGTCGTGAGATCGAGCCCGAGTTGGACTCCATGCTCAGCTCAGCGCCGAGTCGGCTTGAGATTCTTTCCCCCTCCGGCCTCCTCTGCCCCACCCCCTGCTCATGGGTGTGTATGCACGCGCTCTCTCTCTCTCTCAAATAAATAAATAAATAAAATCGTTAAAAAAAAACCAAAAACTGAAGCACTGTGTGAGTGTGCTTGGGCTGCCATAACAAAGCCCCACAGCCGAGGGGCTTAAACAACAGAAACGTATTCTCACAGTTCTGGGGCTAGAAGTCCAAGGTCAGGTGCTGGCAGGGTTGCTTTCTGCTGAGGCCCCTCTCCTAGGCTTGTGGGCAGCTGCCTTCTCCCTGAGTCCTCTTGGCTGTCTCTGTGTGTGCACATGTGTGGCCCTCTTAAGAGGACACCAGTCCTGTAGGATCAGGGCCCCTCCCTGATGACCCCATTTAACCTTAATTCTTTAAAGGCTCTCTCTCCAAATACAGTCACAATGGGAGTTAGGGCTTCCACTTATGAATTTTGAGGGGACAGTCTAGAACACTCCACCCACCGGCCCATCCCCCAAGTTCCTGTCCTCCTCCCAAGCAAAGTGCATTCACTGCATCCCAACAGCCCGCGGAGTCTTACTCCATCCTGGCACCAGCTCCAGGTCGCAAGCCTCCGTTAAGTATCAGTTACCGGTAAGACTAAGGCTCACTTCCTCTCCAGCTGAGAGCCAGACAAGTCATTGTCTCCCAAAATATAGGGCTGGGACAGGAATAGGCTAGACATTCCCATTCCTAAAGAGAGAAATCCGAAAGAAGAAAAGGTGTCAGGTGCTGAGCATGTCAAAGAGCTAGCAAGGCAAATTCCATCAGATTTGCTCCAGAATAATCCTCTTGGGCTCAGGGCTCCAGCTTCTGAGCCCACTGGGGTGGCCGCGTTGCCCCCTTGGCTCTGGGTGGTGACCTTTTGTGACTGCCTTCTTCAATTCAGCATGTTTATGAGGTTCTTCCATGTTGTAGCAAGTATCAGAGCTCATCCCCGCCCTTTTTTAAAAGATTTTATTCATTCATTTGAGAGAGAGCACAAGAGGGGAGAGGGTCAAAGGGAGAAGCAGACTCCTGCTGAACAGGGACCCTGATGTGGGGCTGGATCCCAGGACCCTGGGATCATGCCCTGAGCTGAAGGCAGACGCTTAACCGACTGAGCCACCCAGGCACCCCTCCCCACGTTTTTACAAAAGATTTTATTTGTTCATTTGAGAGAGAGTGGGGGGGGGAGGGGCAGAGGGAGAGGAAGATCTCAGAGGGAGAGGCAGACCCCCACATTCAGCACAGAGCCTGATGCAGGGCTCGATCTCACCACCCGAGGTCATGACCTGAACCGCAATCAAGAGCCCCACACTTAACCAACTGAGCCGTCCAGGCGCCCCCGGAGGGCTGAATAATATTCCATTGTATGGAAGGACCCCGTTTTGGTAATCTATTCATCCATAGACGGCCGCGTGGGTTGTTCCCACTTTTCCACAGTTGTTCGCCTACGGGGATTTGTTCCAATGCCTGTTTTCGTCTCTCTTGCGTCATATACCTAGGCGTGAGCTGGCTGGGTCATTGGTGACGCTGTGTTTTCCTTTTTCGGGAGCGCCTGTCCCCCATTTAACTGGAATTGTGGCTAACCCCGCGAGCTAGGGAGTTTCGCATCCAAGGCCACGTTTCTTGTAAAAGCCACACGGGGCGGGGCGGGGGGGCGCCCTCGGGCTGGGGTCTCATTGCGGGGGCGCGCGCTCGAGTGCGAGCCCCACCACCGCCCGCCCTCCGCAGCTGTTCATGGTGGACAACGGGGCAGACGACTGGCGCATCGCCATGACGTGCGAGCGCGTCTTCCTCATCTCTCTGGAGCTCGCCGTGTGCGCCATCCACCCGGTGCCCGGCCACTACCGCTTCACGTGGACGGCGCGGCTGGCCTTCACGTACGCACCGTCGGCGGCCGAGGCCGACGTGGACGTGCTGCTGTCCGTCCCCATGTTCCTGCGCCTCTACCTGCTGGGCCGCGTCATGCTGCTGCACAGCAAGATATTCACAGACGCTTCCAGCCGCAGCATCGGCGCCCTCAACAAGATCACCTTCAACACACGCTTTGTCATGAAGACGCTCATGACCATCTGCCCGGGCACTGTGCTGCTCGTCTTCAGCATCTCCTCCTGGATCATCGCCGCCTGGACCGTGCGAGTCTGTGAGAGGTACGCCCCCCCCCCGCCCCCGGCGCCCGCCGCGCCCCCCCGTCGCTCCAGGGTTCCCCCACCCACCCATGGGATACCCACCCCCTACCCCCACTTCCTGGCCTCAGTGACCATCCCTCGAGCGCAGCCCCCTCATCCCCGGGACTCCAGCCTGGCGTGCCCCGCCCCCACCCCCACCCCTCTGGGACACTGGCCCTCGCCCCCAGGGAGGGCGGGTCTTATGCTCCTTTCTCTGCTCCTCGGCTGCCAGCAGCCGACCTCTGACCTCTGGCCCGGGGCAGTGGAGGCAGCTGGAGCAGGACGGCCCCCATCTGCCTGTTTCCCCCCACAGTTTAACCTGCTCTCCTTCTCCCCTCTGCCCGCCCCACCGGACTGTAGGGAAAACATGTGAGTCCTACCCTTGGCCGAGCTGTGTGCACAGAGCTGCTGCCGTTCTGCCCGCCAGGAATTTAAGATTAGCTGCCACAAGGGGAGGGCATAGGGAGGTGAGGCGGGGTGGCCGTGACCAACCCCCGAGTCCCAGCAGGGCCGGGGCAGGCAAGTTTGTGGTCGGACTGAGGACAGCGGGAGGCAGGCTGCTCTTGGGCCGCATCCACTGAGCATCCTGGCGGGCCTTGTGTCCAAGGTTGGGGGGAGGGTTTTGTTTGGACAGCTGACCTTGGGGGACTGGGACATCCCTTCCCAAGGGTTGACTGGGTCTGGGGTAAATAAAAACTGGCCCAGGCTTTAGTACCTCTCCCTGCCCGGGGTTTGTTCTGAACAGCCCTGGAAAGGTGCAGTCCATCAAACCAGCTTACAGATGAGGAAACGGGGACTCTCGGGCAAAGGGACATTCCCGAGGCCTGATTCCTGGTCGGCTCTGGAGACCCGCAGGGTGCTTCAGGAAAGGGAAGGTCCCCACTGGGCCTCTCAGGGCGTGGGGGTGCCTTGCCTGGGAAGGAGCCTCTTCTACCTCATGCCTTGCTGGGGAAGGCCCTGGAGGGGTCTGTGGCATGTGGTGCTGGGACTGGGCTTCCTGGGGGGTCCCTGGGCTGGACCTGCCCCCCAGGACCCCAGTCTTCACCCCTTTATGCCTCTCTCCATGGCCCCTGCCTCAGCCTGATGTGGGGCTCATGGCGGGGAGGCCCCAGCTCTTGTTGTCATCGAGGCCTGCCATCTCGGGCCCCGACAAGGTCTCCTTGGACCCCTGATGTACCACCATGCCAGTACCCACAGCCCATCCCCCACCCTGTCGGGGGGGGGGTCAGGTTTGTGGTCTGGGGAGTGAGAGAGGGGCACCCCTCATCAGGCATCCTTGAGGTGCAGTCTGGGTCACTGCAGGGGTCCCCAGGTTGGGGCAGGGAACGGGGCAGGACCAGGGGGGCAGCCAATCCTAAATTCTGAGCCCTATGATGCTGCTTGAAGCCCCCTCGCCTGCCTCGCTCCGCCCCTGCGGCTCTGTCCCACCCCCACCCTGCCTCCCGCATGCCCCCCACTCCCTGGTCCTAGGTAGTCCTGGGTGGTCCTGCAGCCCCCACCACAGCTCCAGCCAGGCCCAGGGCTCCCCCACCCACTGCTGGGGGACCTCCCTCTTGTCCCCTGTGTGTGGGGTGCTGGTTGACCGAGAGGTGGAGGCCAGGGTAACCTGGGGCTCAGGCGCCTCAGTGAAAGATAGGATTCAGTCCCGGGTCCCCCTCACCCAGCAAGCAGACTGCAGCCCAGGCAGAGGACCCTGGAGTGGCATCCGGCCCCCAGGGGTGGGCAGGGACTCCCAAACACCAGACCTGCTGGGAAGGGCTCCATCGCTCCCATCCGCCTTTGGGGCATCTGTCATCTCCCTTTCTCCAGCCCCTGACTCCAGCCCTCCCCACCAGCTTCCCCTGTCCTGCCCCTGTCCACCACCTCTGTGCCACCTCAGTTGACCTCTAACCTTGAACTCCTCCCCCCCCAACCCCCAACCCCCCAGTCAGGGCCTGAGGCCTGGGAAGGAGTTGGTCACCTGGAAAGGGCTCCCTGAGCTGGAGGGGCTTTGCAGGCTGAGGGCTGGGCTAGAGCAGAACCCTTGAGCTGACCCCACAGACCCCCAGGCTGGGCTGACCATTGGTAGAACTTGTTTGTAGCCCACGTGACCAGGTTCACAGGGTTGGCTATGATGGGGGACAAAACCCTGTCCCTTGGGGCCCCCCCATACCAAAAGGTTAGCCCCAGGCCTCCCCACAGTGTCTAGCTGCCCCCTCCCTCCTCCCTCCCAAGCAAACCCCAGGCCCGGATTGGGGTAATAGGTGCTGCCCCAAACATAATGACTTCCATTTTCTCCCAAGTCCTGCAATACTGCAGTCCTCCAGCCTCCTGGGTCCCCCAGTGGTCCTCTTACCCCCATGGGGCCTTGCTGGTTGGGGAAGTTCTTCCCGGTGTCTGACCTGAATCCTCACCTCCACTCCCTGCCGCTTCTGGTGCCCGTGGCCACCTGTGTCTGCATCTGTCTGTGTGTCTGTCTTTGGGAGGGGGATTGTGTGCACATGTGTGGACGTACCCTCACTTGGCCCGCTCTGCCCCATAGCCAGGGCCAGGGAGGGCACACGTCCTGGGCAGTAGCTCAGGGGGTGGGTGAAGGGAGAAGATTGGAAGGGATGCTGGGAGGAGAGCGTGGGTGCCTTCTGCCCCGTGGTACCCTTAGGAGGATGCTAACCACCCCCCTCTCCCTGCCCCACAGTGGTGCCTTTATTACTTTGAGCCCTCAGAGGGATCAGCTCCTTGCAGTCAAGGTCCCCACACGGCCGGGTGGACACGGGGCCCTGGTGTCCTGGTGCTGCCTGCCCCAGGGGGATGATGAACGCAGAGAGACCAGTGTGGACTGACTGGGCCTTCCCCGGCTCCCCTCAGGTACCACGACAAGCAGGAAGTGACCAGCAACTTTTTGGGGGCCATGTGGCTCATCTCCATCACCTTCCTCTCCATCGGCTATGGTGACATGGTGCCCCACACCTACTGCGGGAAGGGCGTGTGCCTGCTCACTGGCATCATGGTAAGGGCAAGGGCACTTGCATACCCCCTGCTGGTGGGGAGCTCACCCCATTGAGAGCTATAATGCATCAGAGTTCCTCCTTGTGTCATCCTGCCCCTTCACCCCCCTCCTCCTTACCTCTGCCATGACTCAGAATCTGCACCCTTGGGCTTCCTGGGGGCATCTCTTCTTGGTTCCTTCCAGCCCTAGGTGTGTAGCTCCTGTGGTGCCCACAGGGCTAGATGCTGTGGCCCACTCTTAGCACAGAGTTTTCTTTGCCCTTTATTCTCTGCAACCTGCTTAATTCACAGCCCTTGAGTCCAGGGCTAGGGGCTTGATGCTTCCATGCCTCAGTTTCCCCCGTTGTAACCAGTGCCCACTTCTCATTGTAAGGTTCCAGTCTGTTCCTTTATGTAAAATGCCTAGAACCATGAATGCTGTGGACACCCAGTCAACACCCTCTGGGTTGTGCATCACAGCCCAGTTCCCCATCCTTGCCTGACTACTGGGGTATCCCAAGCACCCCACTGAGCCCTGATGGTGTGAAGTTTGTCTCATGTGACTTAATGGACCCTGGCAGCACCCCATCTCCCCCAAAGACTTCTCAAGGCCGTCTGTGAGTGTGGGCAACCGTTGATATGGAGCACCTTCTTCCCCTGATGCCATCATCAGTTTTCCTGCTCATCCCTTCCTTCTGGAACCTTCTTTCTCCAAACTTCCACCTCCTTCACAAATGCTTTTCCATGTTTTGGATTATGAATTGTTGGGTGCACGGTCCCCTACTCCTCTCCCCAACGCCCAGTTAATAACATGTTCATTTGTGAAAGTCAGGGAACACCAAGAGGCCATAGAAGCCAACCTGATCCCACCCTCAGATTCCACCCCAGGCCACTCCTTGGAGTGTATCCTTCCTTGTCTGCACAGAGAGATGCATTTGTTCTTGCAAAAACAAGGCCGCATCCCCACAACAGTGTCCTTTCCTACTGCAGACGGGAGGGCTATCTTGCAGTGGTTCTACCCATCCTGTCTCGTGGCCTGTAGACTGTGCTCAGTTGTCACTATCCCCCGAGGCCCGTGGCTCTGTCCCCCCTTCACCCCTCATCCCCTCTAAGCCGTTTGGGCATAAGCCAGGGGTCCATGTCGTCTTCCTCCCCCAACCAGGGCCTCCTTTCCCCTGGCCGAGCTGACACGGCCCCTCTCTTATGAAATGGCATCACACCGATTTGCTTATGTTATTTTGCAAGAGGGGAGAAGGGGAAAGATCGGCCACAGTCCAACCCCCCACAACAAGCAAATGAACTTTGCAAAACGAGCAAAGAGAAGTATTCGGGCAAGGTGAGGTCAAACCCAGAAAGCCCAAGCCAAAATGGAAGAAAAGCTGAGTTCCGTTCTCTGGGACCTGCCTCCTTCCAGAAAATGAGATCCGTGTGTGGCCCGTAGATCTTGCTAGCTGCCCTCGCGCCTGGCACACACACGAGCGGTCATGCTTGGGTCAGTCTCCAGCTCTTCTGTCTTTCTTTCTTTGAGAGAAAGAGAGCACGAGCAGGGAGAGGAGCAGAGGGAGAGAGACAAGCAGACTCCGCACTGAGCGTGGAGCCCAACACGGGGCTTGATCCCAGGCCCCCGAGATCATGACCTGAGCCGAAATCAAGAGTCAGTCACTTAACCAGCTGCACCACCCAGGCGCCCCGGTCTCGAGCCCTTCTGTCAGCTCTTTCCTCTTCCGCCCTTGCCCAAGTGTGTCCCCTCCCAATCACTGCCCCTCCCAGTATCTCAGCAACCATGCATTTGCCTGTTCTTGAACTTCAGGGCATCCCAGTGTGGCCCCTCTGAGCCCGGCGTCTTTGGCCGGACATGGTTTCCATGCTCTTGTGCAGAGCCGGCAGATGACCTTTATTTCCACATGCATAGTATTCCATGTGGAGGCTTCCAGCACTTTTCTTTGCCCCAGTGGACAGGGCTTTTTCCGAGATCGGACCCCAGGAACCCACAACAGGGTTTTTTCAGAGGGTGACCTTGTGCCCATCCCACCCGGGTTGGGCATGTGGCCATCCGGACCTGCCCAGGACCATCTGATGGTGTCCCTGGCCCTTGCCCACCCCTCCCCATAAGTGTTTCCTTCCATCCCTAAGAACACCTGGACTACAGCCCAGCACCTCCCACCCCGGCCCCCCGCCCCCCAAGCCCCAGGGGCTGAGCCCAGCCTCTCCCTCCTTCCTTCTTCGAGGTAGCAGCCTGGCAGGTAAGGCACCAGGAATAGACTTCAGTGCAGGTGGGGACCACCTGGGCTCACCTGCTCCTGCCACCTGCCTTGGGCACTTCTGGAGCTAATGACACCTCCTGCGTGTTCTAGGCTCCCCGGCCCCTGCTTCTTGGTGGCAGACCCTCCCGATGTCACTTTTTGCTGACCCCCCTCCACCTGTCAGCCCTCTCCTCTCTTGGGTCCTCACTCCTGCCCTCTGTCACCCCTAGGCTGCTCCCCAGCAGACGAGCGAGTCCTCTCTGACCTCTTTAGCCAGGAGGTCTGGCTCCCATTTAGGGCATCCTGGGGAATGTGGTTGCATCAAGCAGGGAGCCTGCCATGGGAGAGGCATCGTCCCCTCCACTTGCCCACCTCCTGGGACCTCTATTTGCTTCTTCCTACCTGCAAATGCCAACCCCCCCGCCCCAGGCAGTCAGCCTGACCCTTCCCTCACGCTGCTTTCTCACCTGCCAGCTGACCCCTACCATGAGTGTAGAAAGACATGTCCTCTGGGTCTCTGTCCCCAGCACCCAGACCCCAAAGCCTTGATGGAAATGCTTCCAAATTCTCCCTCCTCCATGGTCATCAGTGCTGAATTTACCTGCAGATCCTTCCTTGTCTCTGAGCCTCAATTTCCCCCTCTGCCCAGCAGGGATAAGAGGGGTCTTACCTCCCAGGGCTCTTGGGGATCAAATAAGACATTCAACTGATAGGGGCGCCTGGGTGGCTCAGTCGGTTAAGACATTCAACTGATAGTAAGCAGGTGGGGCTGGGAGTCAGTGACCTCAACAGGTGGGATCTGCCAGCTCTGTGGGCTTGGAGGGTAAAGGTGAGGGTGGAATCAGGGCAGGCTTCCCAGAGGAGGGAGGGTGTCCTGCCTGTGGCCTGGGACCTACATGAGGCAGGACACTGATGTGTTCCCCACCCTCCACATGCAGGGGGCTGGCTGCACAGCACTCGTGGTGGCCGTGGTGGCCCGGAAACTGGAGCTCACCAAGGCAGAGAAACACGTGCACAACTTCATGATGGACACTCAGCTCACCAAGCGGGTAAAGACGTGCATCACAGCCACTTCCTCTCCCAGTCATCAAGCGCAGACCCTCCCCACCTTACTTCTTTTTGTTTGTTAGTTTTTTAAAGATTATTTATTTATTTATTTGAGAGAGAGAATGAGATAGAGAGAGAGCACGAGAGGGGAGAGGGTCAGAGGGAGAAGCAGACTCCCTGCCGAGCAGGGAGCCCGACGTGGGGCTCGATCCCGGGACTCCAGGATCATGACCTGAGCCGAAGGCAGTCGCTTAACCAACTGAGCCCCCCAGGCGCCCCCCCCCACCTTACTTCTGTACACAGCGGGCATGTCTACCAGCCCACAGGTCACTGCACTGGCTCGTGCTCTGCTGCCCATGCGGATGTTCATGAGCCACGCACAGAGACACAGCAGTGGCCCCGGGTGTCCACCCATGTGCCCAATCATCAGCCCACCCTGAGCCACATGGCAATAGGCAGGCATTTTAGGGCCAGTCAGCCAGATACAATCTATGAGCTGTCTGACCTTGGCAGGTCAACCTCTCTGTGCCTTAATTTCCCCTTGTATAAAGTGAGAGAGATACCAGCATGTTTAGATTCACTGATTTAACATTTGCAAGGTATATAGAAAGGGTCTGGCCCATGCTGAATGATATAAATGAAGTGCACACACACAGACCCAGAGAACAGAGACGTGGACATGTACACATGGCCTCGCCTTACATGTCCGGGACCGCAGAGGGGCATTTCTAGGCGTTTCTTAGAGTGTCTGGAAGTTTCCAGAACCTTCTACAGTTTTGTGCCTACCTTGAGAAACTGTTCTTTTTCTGGGCCCAGGTAAAAAATGCCGCTGCTAACGTTCTCAGGGAGACGTGGCTCATCTACAAACACACCAGGCTGGTGAAGAAGCCAGACCACGCCCGGGTTCGGAAACACCAGCGTAAGTTCCTCCAAGCCATCCATCAGTAAGTCCAGCACCTTTCCCGCTCACGTTTCTGTGTCCACCTGATGCAGAGGCAGCTGTGGTCCTCGGGAGGAGGCTATGGGCCAGGCCAGACAGCTCAGCATGGCCTCGTCATGGCCCCTCCCATTCTGGGTGGTCAGTTGGCTGGGGCTTGCAGCCTCTGTGCTGGGTGGGATGGTGGGATGGTCAGAAGGAGGCAGGTGATGGGCCCAGAACTTGTCTAGGGCGATCACCTTTGATAAGTCAGCCAACTCAGGGGCACCCGGGTGGTTCAGTCAGTTAAGCATTTGCCTTCGGCTCAGGTCGTGATCGCAGGGTCCGGGATCAAGCCCTGTGTCGGGCTCCTCACTCAGCAGGGAGTCTGCTTGTCCCTCTTCCCTTCCCCTGCTTGTGCTCTCTCTCAAATAAATAAAGTCCTAAAAAAAAAAAAGGTCTGGCAGTCCACCCAACATAAATGGCAAGAAGCATATTTTATTCTCCAAAATAGCCAAAATTATTTTATCTTTTAGATATTAAGCAATTTCCCTTTTTTGCTTTGGCTGCTAGGAAGCTCAGAATTTACTTTGTGTCCTGATCCATGTGATCAAGTGGGGTAATTAGAAATTACTTGATTTTCTCTGTTGTCCCTTTGTCCTGAGAATTCTTTTTTTTGAAGATTTTATTTGTTTGACAGAGAGAGACACAGCGAGAGAGGGAACACAAGCAGGGAGAGTGGGAGAGGGAGAAGCAGGCTTACCGCTGAGCAGGGAGCCCAACACGGGGCTCGATCCCAGGATCCCGGGATCATGACCTGAGCTGAAGACAGATGCTTAACAACTAAGCCACCCAGGCGCCCCTGTCCTGAGAATTTTTTAATCAAGTAGTTAGTTCTCATCCTTCGCTGCTCACTGGAACCACCCACAGGGCTTTAAAAATCCTACAGGCTGCACCCAACGCCAGTTACAGCAGAGTCTGGGATGCACCCTGGGCTTAAGTTTAAGTTCCTCCAGTGAGTCCAGTGTACAGCTGGAGCTGGCAGACTTTACCTGTAAGGGCCAGAGAGTAAATATTTGAGGCTTTGTGGACCAGACAGTCTGTCGCAACTACTCTACTCTGCTGTTGTAGCAGGAGTGCGGTAAAGAGGAGTGGGTGGGCCATGCTCTAATAAAACTTTATTTTCTCCAATAGGCAGCTGGCCACATTTGGGCTGGGCCAGGCTCTAATATGCCAATCACTGTCCACTAGAAATATCATGTAAACCACTATATAATTTTAAAGTTTCTAGTAGCCACATTTAAAAAAAAGTAAAAGAAAACAAGTTACATAATTTTTTTTAATTTTTAAATTTTATTTGAGAGTGAGAGAGAGAGGGCACAAGAGGGGGTACAGTCAGAGGGAGAAACAGACTCCCCGCTGAGCAGGGAGCCCGATGCGGGACTCGATCGGGGGACTCAGGGATCATGACCTGAGCCGAAGGCAGTCGCCACACCAACTGAGCCACCCAGGCGCCCAGTTACATAAATTTTAATATATTCATTCAATATATGCAAAATATTTTAATATGATTAATATAAAAATCATTAATGAGATATTTTAGAAAGTTTTTGACACTAAATCTTCAAAGTCTATTGTGTATTTTACATTTATAGTCCATTTGTATTCAGACCAGCCACATTTCAAGTGCTTAGTAGCCACATATAGGATGTATGGAACATGGGGTGCCTGGGTGGCTCCGTTGGTTAAGCGTCTGCCTTTGGCTCCGGTCATGATCTCAGGGTCGGTCCTGGGATTGAGTCCTTCGTTGGGCTCCTCGCTCAGCAGGGAGCCTGCTTTTCTCCCTCTGCCTGTGGTTTCCCCTGCTTGTGCTCCCTCTCTCTCCGACAAATAAAGTCTTTTAAAAAAATAAAATAAAATAAAACGGACAGTCTGATCATATATA